TTTGTTTTTTATTTGTTAATTTAATTCATTTTTCTATTTTATACTTTAACTTGAATTAATTATTTAATTCATTACTTATTATTTTATATTTTTTCTTAATTTTTTCCTTGGAACTAACTAATTAACAATATTTTGTCCGTCTTCAAAATTTAAAAAGTATCAATAAAATTGGTGACGAAGGTGCATCAGGCTTAGGTTCTGGTTTAGGAAAGTGCACTAATCTCTCAAATTTGACACTTAATCTTAAGTATAAACAGTTTACTTGTTGATTGCAATTTTTTTTAATATAAAAATGAATTTAAAACAATTTAGCTAGCTAACTCTTTTAATTTATTTATTTATTAGCTTTATATTTGATTTCTTTTTCTTTTTTATTCTGCTTATGTTTTTTTACTTTGTTTTTTATTTGTTAACTTAATTCATTTTTCTATTTTATACTTTAACTTGAATTAATTATTTAATTTATTACTTATTATTTTATATTTTTTCTTAATTTTTTCCTTCGAACTAACTAATTAACAATATTTTGTCTGTCTCCAAAATTTAAAAAGTGACAATAAAATTGGTGACGAAGGTGCATCAGGCTTAGGTTCTGGTTTAGGAAAGTGCATTAATCTCTCAAATTTGACACTTTATCTTCGGTATAAACAGTTTACTTGTTGATTGCAATTTTTTTAATATAAAAATGAATTTACAACAATTAGCTAGCTAACTCTTTTAATTAATTAATTTATTTATTAGCTTTATATTTGATTTCTTTTTATTTTTTTTGTTCTGTCTTTTTTATTTATTAGCTTAAAAGATATTATTTTATTTAAAAACTTTATTGTATTTATTTTTTTAAGTTATTTACACTAATTTATATTAAAAGGTTCAACTCATTCAATAGTTTATAATAATTCAAAGCAAAGTGTCATAAATCAAATAGATTAGTTGTCTTAAAACTTAGGATTTTTTGATCATAAAGTTGTGAAAAAAGGAAGAATAAATAAATATAAATATATTTGAATAATATGACATAATATGCTTTAATATAATTTAATTTAAAATATAAATAGATTTATTACTTTTTATGGATGGGCTATATATATTATTATATGTATACAAAGTAATTATGCGCTTATTGTATTTAAATATATTTTCAATAATATTAAAAAGAAGCAAAAAAATATTTTTCAATAAAATTAATCAATAACCAAACCTACCCACACAAATGGGAAAAACAAAATTATCAAGAAATTACGGGGATATAATTGAATAAATATATTTGAGTTAATATTTAGTCTTTCTTTATCTTAATTAAATCTTTGAGTTTTATTAATAATTATTTAGAAATTACTGAAATAATTAGAAAAATATGATATAATACAAAAATTATTTTGATAGATTAAAAGATGTAATATTATTTTGTTACCTTAAATAAATTTAATCTAAAACTTTATTAAAAAAAAGTTTTTAATCTCATCTTAATTTGCTCATTCGAATATTGAGATTGATCTTTAATAGTAAATAAATTAAATTAGTAGATTTGCTTTCATTTATTGGCAATGTTTTTAAAAAAAATCATAAAGCTAATCAGTGAACACCATGGAATTATAAAATTTAGTAACAGCGTTGTCTAAATACACTAATTTATCAAATTTGACTCTAAACTGTCCGTAAACATATTTTATATTTTATTAAATGCCGTTATAAATAAATACTTACTTGTTAAAAAAACAAAAATCAAGATTTTCAAATGAACTCTTTTGGAGTTTCTTTGTTTATTTGCTTGTTTGATTTGATTTTTGCTTTAAAATTTTTAACTTTTTTAATTAAATATTGAATATAATTCCTTTTCATATTTTAAACTATAACTAGCTAACTAACTAACTTTAAATTTATATTAAAAATAATAAAGTATAAATGCAAAAAGTGTGTTCCCTTTGGTTTCTTGTTTATCAGATTGCACCAAATTATCAAATTTAAATCTGAACATTTCGTATAAACTGCATATTTACTTTTTTAATAATAAATTTTAACAAAAAAATTAAATATTATATTTTTTGAATATTTTAAATAGTTTAATTTATTTTTAATAATTCCTGTTAACCATTTAAATATTAGTTATTTGCTTACTAATAAATTTTATTAAATACTCTTAATAATTATTAAGGTAAAGTAAGATTGGTGGTTAGGGTATTTCAGCTTTAGTATTTGCTTTATCAACTTGCATTAATCTATCAAATTTGACTATAATACTCTGGTACATCCATCATATAACTTATTTTTATTTACTTAATTTTAATATAAAGTATATTCTTATACATTCAAATTTTTTAAATTCTTTATCTATTAACTTAATTACTTACTTACTTACTTATTTACTTACTTATTTACTTATTTATTTATTTAATTATTTATTTATTCTTCTTTGATTCTTTCTTTTTGTAAATTTTAGAATTAAATCTCTTTAATTAACAAAACAATTTTTTATTAAATTCAATATAGCCATAATAGAATTGGAACATACGATTCATTTGCTTTATCTTCTGCTCTTTCAACTCTTCACAATTTATCTTATCTAAGACTTCATCTAGGGTAAAAAAATTTAAATCTTAAGTTTTCATAAAAATTCTTTCTAACTGATATTTTTTTTTTTCAACTTTTAAAGTTAATTTTTTATAAATTTAGCAAACATATTTTTACTAAAAATTAAAAATTATTAAGATGGAATAAAATAGGTACATAAGGAGTATCAGCTATAGTTTGTGCAATTTCAAACTAAGTTAATCTATCTGAACTTTAACTTAGCTTTACGTAAAAAGAGTTTACATGATATATTTAGGAAAATATTTTTTTAATTTTAATAAGAATAAAATAATTTTTTTTTTTTTTACATTAAATGAAAAATCAAATTTAAATACTCAATTTTATTAACACCTAAATTTAAAATTTTTTGTTTACTATAGTTTTTATAAATCAATTAATAAATAAATTTGTGTTGTTACTAATTTAGATCTAACGAAATTGGATCATAGAATGGATTATATTTAGGTTCTGCTTTATCAACTTGCATCAGTCTCTCTAAATTAAGTTTGGATCTCGCGTACAAATTAATTTTTTAAAAACAATAATTAGCTGTAACTGCCATTGAGAAATTTAAAAACAAATAAATTAATAAATTTATTTATTTATGCATTTATTAGCAAATTATAAATTATCTTTTTCCTTTCACTCTTTTTAAATAAATTAAAAATTAATTTTTTAAAATAAGAGCAAATAAAATTAATGGTGAGTGTGCATAAACTTTAGTTTGTTCTTTATCAGCTTGCACCAATCTCTCATCTTTAAAACTTTATTTTAAGTAAAATTGTTATTTATTTATTTTTATTTAGATTTAATTATATCCTTTTAAGAAAAGATTAAACAAAATATTCATTTATTTGAAATGACATTTTTCTATTTCTTTTTCTGCTACCTACATATTTATTTTAAATTATTTTCTTAATTATGTAAAAAACTTTACAGTGGTAATGAAATTGGCCCATAAGGTGCACCAGCTTTAGGATTTGCTTTGTCTACACTCACAAGCCTATCAAGTTTAACTCTAGATATTCAGTAAAATAGAGTTTTTATTTTTAATAAAATACAATAAAAAATTATTTACTTACTTACTAGATTGATTTTTTTATTATTTTTTAATACTGATAAAAACTTTAAAGTTATTTAAACCTTATTTTTAATTTTCTTTTTAATAAGAATCATATACTTTTGATAGTTAATTAGACATTTATTAACAACTAAAAAATCTATACAAATAATAGGGGCAATAAAATAGAAGATAATGGTCTATTAGCTTTAGGTTCTGCTTTATAATTCTGCACCAACTTGTCTTAAATGAGAATTGTATTTAAGTAAAATTAGTTTTTTTTTTTAAAAAATAAATGCAAATTTATCTTTATCAGTAAAAAAAAGTTTTTTTTTCTTTAATTTAATATTTTAATTTTAAAAAATATCATTTTAAAATTTATTAATTAATTTTCATCTTTTATATTTTATTTATTAACAAATTTAAAATAAATATTTTAGATATTGGACCTCAACAAATGAAAAAGCATAACTTAAATTTAAGCTTAAGATTCTTAAAGTTAAAAGATTAGTTAAGATATATTTTGATTCATATTGAAATTTTAATTTTAAATTAAATTTCATTTATTATTAAATATAAGGATGTTTGTTTGTTTTGTTTCAAAAGTAATATGGTATTCTATATATTATTAAGATAAAAGTGAATTAATAAATTATCATAAAATTTGATATATAAATATTTAATTTTATTAATTTAATAATAAATACCTAACTATAAATAAAAAAATAAGTTATAGAAAATAAATTAATTAATGTTGTTATTAAAACAAATTTTATTAGTGTATTTTTTCAGCATCTATCAAGCTATTTGTAAAATTAAAATAAAAAATAAATGAATTAATTAATTAATTTGTAATTTTTATATGAAATAAATAAATAAATAAATAATTTTTGATTTAGACAACAATTTTAATTTGTAAAATAAATTAAATATTATATGTTAGTAAATCTATATTTAATTATATTTAAGAAATACCTTTATTTAAAATTTTATTTACTCAAATTTGGTAATTCATTTTTGAGTGTGTACATTGCACACTGTGCACAATACTATGGATGGGCACTATTTGTATAAATTTGTTCACTATATAATTATTTAATAGTTTAGAGTTAGTTTTAGGTAGACTTTAGTTGTTAAGAATATAAAGATAAGGCAAAATTAGAGGTGGGAATCTGTTTGAATTTAAAGACCGATACCTAAAAAAAATTTAAAAAAGAAACATTATAACCTCTAAAGTTAAAATAAAAAGTAAAACTTGATTTCTCCCTGAGGTTTTATTTAAATAATGGCATCTAATTAATCATGATAAATAAAAAAGGATAGAAATATGATTGATGGATAATATTTAAGATTAAAATAAAACTGGCATATAAAAGTTTGGCATTTATATAATTTAATAAGATGTAATATAACACTAAAAGTTTCAAATTATTTTATCGTTTTTGAAGAAACCAGAGGGTTTGCTTAGAAGGATTTAATTTATTTAAGTAAATTTAATTTTTTTATTATTTATGAATAATATATTTACTTACAAAAATATGAATGATATTTATAAAAATAAAATCAATAATAAATTCTATCTATCTATATTTTAGGTTAAAAACACTTTTTCAAAATATTATTTAATAAAATATATAATGCTATTCAAACATTTTATATTAATTCATTCATCCTTTTTTCACCAGTTGTTTATCATTAGAAAACAAAGACAACTAATCTTTTTGATTTACGACACTTGCTTAGTAATTTGAATTTTTATGATATATTCATTAAGCTAAAAATTTTTAAATAAATTTTTGTAAATTTTAAAATAAATATCAAAATAGAATAAACTTTTAAATTAAAAATTATTTTTTAAATAAATAAATAAAATAATATTTGTGGAATAAAAAAGATAAAAAAATAAAATAAATAAAACTATTAAATAAATTCAAGGAGCTTTTTTATTTTAAATTCATTTTTATAGTTTAAAATCAAAATCCAAAACAAATAAACTGTTTTTACTCGAGCTAAAGTGTCAAATTTGAGAGATTAATGCAATTTACTAAAGCTGAACCTAAGCCTGATGCACCCATTGCACCAATTTCATTCTAACTTTTTAATTATTGAAGAAAAATATATCATTAATTAGTTAATTAGAAGTAAAAAATGAAGAAAAAATATGAAATAATAAGATTAATTAATTAATAATAAAAATAAAAGTTCAAAATAAAATGATGAGCTAAATTAACAAATAAAGAACAAAATAAAGCAAGCACAATAAAAAGAAAAAGAAAAAAGAGCTTTATTGTTTTTAATTAGTTTTTATAATTAAAAATATCACAATCCAAAACAAATAAACGATTTTACCCAAGGTCAAGTGTCAAATTTGAGAGATTAATGCAATTTGCTAAAGCAGAACCTAAGCCTGATGCACCCATTACACCAATTTAATTAGAACTTTTTAAATATTGAAGAAAAAATATATCATTAAATAGTTAATTATAAGGAAAAAATGAAGAAAAAATATGAAATAATAAGGTTAATTAATTAATAATATAAGAAAAAGTTCAAAATATAATGGTGAGCTAAATTAATAAAGAAAGAACAAAATAAAGCAAGCACAATAAAAAGAAAAAGAAAAAAGAGCTTTATTGTTTTTAATTTGTTTTTATAATTAAAAATATCACAATCCAAAACAAATAAACTGTTTTTACCGAAGGTCAAGTGTCAAATTTGAGAGATTAATGCAATTTGCTAAAGCAGAACCTAAGCCTGATGCACCCATTGCACCAATTTAATTAGAACTTTTTAAATATTGAAGAAAAAATATATCATTAAATAGTTAATTAGAAGGAAAAAATGAAGAAAAAATATGAAATAATAAGGTTAATTAATTAATAATATAAGTAAAAGTTCAAAATAAAATGGTGAGCTAAATTAACAAAAAAAAACACAAAAAAGCAAGCACAATAAAAAGAAAAAGAAAAAAGATCTTTATTGTTTTTAATTAGTTTTTATAATTAAAAATATCACAATCCAAAACAAATAAACTGTTTTTACCAAAGGTAAAGTGTCAAATTTGAGAGATTAATGCAATTTGCTAAAGCAGAACCTAAGCCTGATGCACCTTCATCACCAATTTAATTTTCACTTTTTAAATATTGAAGAAAAAATATATCATTAAATAGTTAATGAAGAAAAAATATGAAATAATAAGATTAATTAATTAATAATAAAAGAAAAAGTTCAAAATAAAATGATGAGCTAAATTAATAAAGAAAGAACAAAATAAAGCAAGCAAAATAAAAAGAAAAAAGAGCTTTATTGTTTTTAATTAGTTTTTTTTATTAAAAATATCACAATCCAAAACAAATAAACTTTTTTACTCAAGCTTAAGTGTCAAATTTAAGAGATTAATACAATTTTCTAAAGCAGAACCTAACCCTGATACACCCATTGCACCAATTTCATTCCAACTTTTTAAATATTGAAGAAAAAATATATCATTAAATAGTTAATTAGAAGGAAAAAATAAAGAAAAAATATGAAATAATAAGATTAATTAATTAATAATAAAAGAGAAAGTTCAAAATAAAATGGTGAGCTAAATTAACAAAGAAAGAACAAAAACAAAAAAGCACAATAAAAAGAATAAGAAAAAAGAGCTTTATTGTTTTTAATTAATTTTTATAATTAAAAATATCACAATCAAAAACAAATAAACTTTTTTACTCAAGCTAAAGTGTCAAATTTGAGAGATTAATGCAATTTGCTAAAGCAGAACCTAAGCCTGATGCACCTTTATCACCAATTTTTAAATCATAAACAGTGTCTAAAATAAGGGGGGTTTTCGAGAAAACTATCAAACCAAAAACCAATTTTAAACACTTATTATAAATTATAATTACTTTTAAGATGTATTTCTGAGTGCATTTATGTGTGCGAGTTTATCTTATCTTATCTTATCTATCACCAATTTTATTGAAACTTTTTAAATATTGAAGAAAAAATATATCATTAAATAGTTAATTAGAAGGAAAAAATGAAGAAAAAATATGAAATAATAAGATTAATTAATTAATAATATAAGCAAAAGTTCAAAATAAAATGATGAGCTAAATTAATAAAGAAAGAACAATATAAAGCAAACAAAATAAAAAGAAAAAAGAGCTTTATTGTTTTTAATTAGTTTTTATAATTAAAAATATCACAATCCAAAACAAATAAACGATTTTACCCAAGGTCAAGTGTCAAATTTGAGAGATTAATGCAATTTGCTAAAGCAGAACCTAAGCCTGATGCACCTTTATCACCAATTTTATTGAAACTTTTTAAATATTGAAGAAAAAATATATCATTAAATAGTTAATTAGAAGGAAAAAATGAAGAAAAAATATGAAATAATAAGATTAATTAATTAATAATATAAGCAAAAGTTCAAAATAAAATGATGAGCTAAATTAATAAAGAAAGAACAATATAAAGCAAACAAAATAAAAAGAAAAAAGAGCTTTATTGTTTTTAATTAGTTTTTATAATTAAAAATATCACAATCCAAAACAAATAAACTGTTTTTACCAAAGGTAAAGTGTCAAATTTGAGAGATTAATGCAATTTGCTAAAGCAGAACCTAAGCCTGATGCACCCATTGCACCAATTTCATTCCAACTTTTTAAATATTGAAGAAAAAATATATCATTAAATAGTTAATTAGAAGGAAAAAATGAAGAAAAAATATGAAATAATAAAATTAATTAATTATAATAAAAGAAAAAGTTCAAAATAAAATTCTGAGCTAAATTAACAAAGAAAGAACAAAAACAAAAAAGCACAATAAAAGGAATAAGAAAAAAGAGCTTTATTGTTTTTAATTAGTTTTTATAATTAAAAAAATCACAATCCAAAACAAATAAAATGTTTATACCTAAGGTCAAGTGTCAAATTTGAGAGATTAATGCAATTTGCTAAACCAGAACCTAAGCCTTATGCACCTTCATCACCAATTTAATTTTCACTTTTTAAATATTGAATAAAAAATATATCAATAAATAGTTAATTAGAAGGAAAAAATGAAGAAAAAATATGAAATAATAAGATTAATTAATTAATAATAAAAGCAAAAGTTGAAAATAAAATGATGAGCCAAATTAACAAATAAAGAACAAAATAAAGCAAGCACAATAAAAAGAAAAAGAAAAAAGAGCTTTATTGTTTTTAATTAGTTTTTATAATTAAAAATATCACAATCCAAAACAAATAAACTGT